ACTATATTTTCTTGTTTTTTTTGCTAATAGATGGCGCTACGTGTAAATCCAGCAAATCAATGGGGATAGAAATTGATTGATTTATAGAAATCCAATCGATATTTTTGGGTAGGATGTACGACATTATGTAAGTTAGAAGTATGGGAATGTAACTGCAGAGTTTCATAGCAATTGGTCTAAAGGTCTAGGAGTGTATAGCGAACTAACATCCTCATATATATATATATATATATAGACTAACATGATGCTAGGGCAGGGGTGGCCAACAGTTTACTGGCGTCTAATTACAGAACGATTCCGTAGCCGTATTGTTTTTTACCACGAGGTGTCGCTACTTCGTGACGTCCAGAAGCTGGACAAGCATAATTCTGACTGTAGTGTATTTACACCAGAATTAATTTATTACATACAAAATTTGCTACTGTTCGTTTGTTGAACGTCAAATTTGTCTTTTGTCTAATGTTCATTGTTTATATTATAACTTTAAAAGATGATTATTTTTCATTATTTTTATCAAAATATTTAAAATTATACAGTATATTATAAAAGTTATTCTACGGAATATGCAGACTTTCGTTCTTAAATTCTTTTAATCTCAAGATTTTCCTGCTGAATTTTCAATCTCTTACTCGAATTTTTTTGTATTATTTAATAAAATTATTCATTGCTTTTTAGAAATAATTTAAACGTTTTATATTAGAAAATTTGCAATATTTTATTTCACAATTAACGTTTATCTTTGAAATGTTCCACAAAACCAAACTCAATTTTCTGCATAGGCATCCTTATTTGGTTTTCACGAAATTTTAAACAACCTAACCCTAGCGAATACCAAGAGTTAAGTGTATCTTGTGTAATTTGAGTAAAGTCTTTTGAATTGGTAGTTTAAATCCATCAACAAATTATCATCGTCAGTAAAATATTAGTGAACTTTTTGTAGCCTGATTTAACAGATCTGCAATGATTTATTTGAACGTTAGCTAAGAAAAAATGCCACAGTATTCATAAGATGATTTCTTTATGAAAAAGATTTATTGAAAATTACACACTTGTAATATTTTCATATGCACAATCTGTTATTGAATGTTTTCTTTTTGTAAGTACAGTACATTTCTGAACTGAGCGTAGTCACGATTCCATGTGCCAAAGCCGCGCGAGTACAATTTATAAATTCCAGGAATTTTTAGACAGTACGACACAGTTAACTTTAGTTGGTTCTCAACTTATCTGTGGCATTCCATTCGTAGAAATCTGTCAAATACTGTACATAATACAACAAGTATTTTCTAATATATCCAACGCAATATTTTCCATAACGATTTCTTAGCAACGTAGCGGGAATACTTCACAACCAATTATCGATGATAAAGTATTGTTTTAAAGCTATCGACAAAAAATTCCAAGCACATCGTACAATACGAGGTATACGCTAGCTGAACGTCACGACACTAGCGGCATTTCGTGATAAAAACTAGAACTACGGCTACGGAATCGTTCTGTAATTAGATGCCAGTAAGTTTTTTTCTCCCGGGCCGAACCAGAGGCTGCCCTAGAAAGATTTTGAGGTGCTGCGAGATCTCATCATGGTGTCACCCCATAGAGACTAAATTGTACAGAGAGATTACAGATACATTTTTCACATTATCATGTTTTATCAACATTCTACGCTGTACTTAAGAGATTTGTAATGAAGGGCTAACTCTAAACTAGTATTTCTCAACGGGGTCGATATCGCCCCCATGTGGGCGTTTTTCCATGTTGAGGGGGCGATTAGTAACAATTTATATTTTAGGGGGCGAAAAACAATTTTCTGGGCGATATAGTAAAACATTATATTAAGAATAATTGGATATTTTATTCTTATATCGTACAATAATTAAAACAAATAACATTATACTAGTCACTAGTCTGTTCAATGCAGTACGAATTTGGCGTTAGCCTTGGCCCTCGGTATCGGAATTTTGAAGTGAAGGGGCGATACTACATTGAAGGGGGCGACGATTCGTTAGAGGTTGAGAAACACTGCTCTAAACGCACAGTCAGTTGTTGTTGACGTTTTTTTAGGGGTCAGAATTTTTCATCGAGCTATTCGGACTTGAGTAGTTAATATTGAAAGATTAATCGCGGGCCACATAAATTCATTAGACGGGCCGGATCTGGCCCGCGGTCCGTACGTTGGCCATGCATGTGCTAAGGTAAAAAATAGCATAGATTAAGATTATTTAGTACTAACCCTTATACTATATTATAGTATTTAATTTAATTTATACCAATATTTACAAAGGTTATCTTACATAAGGGTTTATCACACTGGGTGCCCACATTTTAAACAATCTTTAAATTGTGTATAGTAGAACATTTTTAAAATGTTAGATTGGATCTTGCAAGGATTTATCGAACAAAGTATTTGAATTATATAACAATGATATAAACATTAAAACGAAAACCAATGTGTTCATTTTAGCCTACCATCGTGATTTTTATCGTACGAAATGGCACAATTTCGTTAGTCAAGTAGATACCAATTGAAAATAGATATCTTAAACTTTTTAAGATATATTTTTTCCTAATGTTAACTCCAAGAAACTACCGTTTACAGCCGCATATCAAACGGTAATCTGTCAATAAATAAAATTTGGCGAAAAACGGACCAAATATTTAAACTCGGTACCCTCGAAAACCACTTAAAACATATTTTATGCTCGCCGGTAACCTTGCATTATGTAATTTTTCTATTCGAATGCCACTATAACGGTGAATCCGATAGGAAGAAGGGAGTTGAAGTAATTCGACTAATAGTAGTAATTGACCTCCTCCCGGGGAGAGGACTGTCTACTACTAATAAATACTGGTCTATATTAAAATTTAAAAAGTCATACGTGTTGGATAGGTTGTGAAGGCCTCGCACGTGATCGAAGTTGCTAACCTTAACGTCCGAACACTTGATATAAACTTGTTTAAATAAAATTAATGTTGTAAAAATGCCAGAATAACTGCTTTGATATGATAAGTGTTTATATTTTTTGCAACTGTAAAAATTATAATTACTTCATGTATATTTGTTGCCATTTCTTCTGCAGAACCGACCTTGAGATGCTTTTCGTTTTCCCGATAATGATAGGGGTTGTTTATGTTTTTGTTTCTTATCGATATAGACTTCTTCAGATAGGTTTTTTAAAAAAATATTTTCTCCTGTAATCTGGATATACAGTATGTGTGCATTTATGCCAGCCAAGTCTAGAATGTTATAAAATACATGCATGGGCCATCAGGAACATCCTCTTATGTTGTACAGTACAGTACCATTTGGTCAACTGTCAAGCTTTGCCTTGTTTTCATTGTAATATAATATGGTTTCTGATTTTTTTTTCATTACTCTCTGTATTGACCAATACGAATGGATCCATTAAACTCATTAACAACACTTGTTTCTGTTTCTTTGCAGTGTAAATTGTTAATGTTACATCATCACTGGTTTTCAATACTACAATCATTGTCACAGCTCATGAACTTTTGTAGATTGAAAATGCATCACACTGCAAGAATACAAACTTGACAGAAAAGCTTCTTATTTCTTTATAGCTGGTGGACCGCATTGGGCTATTCAGTTGACGATGAGCTTCTGCATGTAGTTTTTAATTGTGCAAATAATTCTCTCATCCACCGAAAGTTGAAATAAGAGATACGGTCCCACCTACATTTCTTCTAGCATACCCAGCTGCACCAGACTGAAGTCTGAATATATTATTAGACTATTTTTTACATGCATCTGGTGTACTTGGAGCAGCTGTCCACTGAGCCCCATCATGACATAATTTTTTGATAAATGTGTTGGAATTTTTCAGATTCCTCATCGCTTACATCTGGTCTGAATATTCATCAGAAAGCATCTAAAACATTAAATCCTCCAAAAAATCTTCATTGTCTTTTAACCTTTGAAATGTCTCTACACTAATGTTGCCAGATGAACAAGGCTTTCCATTGAGGAAAACTATCACTCTCAGAGAGTGAATGCATTCATATTACTCAATCAGAAACTGATGTGATAACTACAATGCAGATTTGCACTTTTCATGCTGGTCAAATGACCAACTTGCAGTATAAACATTGAAAAAATATACAGTATGTAAACTATAAAATTATTTCAAAACTTTTTTCACATGAAAGAGCATAAAAAGTTAGACAAATTTTTTAAATTTAAAGAAAATACATCAAATAGTAATGAATTAACTTGAAAACATCATGCTAGTCATTGACCAGCCTCAGTATTCCTAATGTTAAAAAATAAACAATAAATGGACATGGATAATCACCAACTTCTTCAGTTTTTGGAATCAATTTGACTGCAACAGCAAACTCTAAAGCTGAGGTCACACCTTGTGATTTCCAGCCATGCAGGCAACTGCAACAGTTGCTCCTGTTAACTAGGAAACCCCCTTCAAAACCCAGTGCGAGTGCAACTGCAACTAGAAACAAAAAGTTTGTTCTACTTGCATCAATTGCAAACATGCATCCAATCAGAAAATGCCTTTGTGCCATGTCATATGGCAGCAACATTGAAAATAACAAAGCATCAACGAAAGACATTCTCCAGGTAAAATAGAATGTTGAAGACGTGTATCTTCCTTTAGCTATTATGGGAATTATCCTCCTTAAAATTCTTTGGAAAGTATTTGAATCCACATGGATACATCCCTGATAACCTTTGGCATCCGAAAGTCTTAATTCATTCATCAGCTGGTGGAAGCAAGATTGTTTAGTCCATTCACATTCATTTCACTCAGTTTTAACCCAGCACAAATGTTTTCTTATTTTTCTCTTTGTGTATTCGCGCCAGCTCTAACAAAATGATTGCCTTTTTGCTTTTATTCATTGCAAAAACTGGAACTGCTTGCCACTTTAATAAGTGGCTAAAAGTCCATAAATACTCTGAAGTAGAATGTAAACTGTAAGTAACTCATAAAAATAGTCAAAAATAAGCTACTATACACACTTAAAAGCCCTCTGTTAATATTTTATTATGGATATTTTTTTACATATCTGAAATTTAACAGTTCAATTTTACATTACATTTTTCCAAATGACTTGAATATTCAAACCAGTATTATTTTTTTAACAAAAATATTTAAATATACAAACAATTTTAGCATTAATATTTTTATAATTATTTTAGAATCTGTTTCATTAATCTGTAAGATACTGTCCTCATTCTGTTTACACAAAAGTGAACTTCAGTTATTACTGTACACATTTTAAAAAAGATAAAAATAATAAAAATCATATCCATGTACATTTAACAACAGAGTGCAATGTGCTTTTTCATAAGGTGTATCCTTATGAAGAGCCAAAATTCTTTAAAGTTTCAATTTGGTTCTTCTCCAGTGACGCCTTTTTGCATTGTATCTGAAGAAAAATTATATACATTGACATTGATTGAATCATAAGATTTAATTAACAACATTTTAAAATAACAAAACTATCAAATGAAACTACTAACCTAATGCTATTTCCAGTTTTAAGTCTTATCCACTGTGGGATAGGTCTATTCTGTTTCATCTTCTTTGCTAGCTTCTGTTTGATTTTAAAGGTCTTATGGGCTGCCTAATACAAATTATTATATAATTAATTATATGAACATTAAAATACTATTTTCAATATTTGCACTGATATTTTTAAAGACTTAATAATTACACAGGTCTACAGCAGAAAAGCTGACTTTTTTTGTGATCCTTATATGCTTTTTTTAAATGCTGAATTCAAAAATGTTATTAGTTTTTCTCTATCTATAAGGTTTCTCTACAAAACGATTTTTTATGGATAATCTAGCAGATGAGCCCGGCGTTGCTTGGACAAAAAGTAACAATAGCAAAGATTAAGATTATAGCCAATCTTACCCGTTTTCACCGAGTGCAAGAATTAGGTCCTCTCTTCTGAGACTAATTACAGATTTTTTAGATATCTGCTTACCACACCAGGATAACAATAAATAAGACTCACTGCAACCACAAATTGGTGCATAGTACCATTAAGTGATAAATAATAAATGTTTCTGTAACTCTTTCTGGGTTCTTTTTCAGGTTTAATAAATTCAAAAAATAAGCTGGATCTTCCAGAATCATTCATAAATATAAATTCAACATAAAATCGAACATTAAGACATAAAGCGAAGTTATGCACAAGCAACTTTATATACAGTGGACACACAAAATATCATTGAGAATTTTTAGAAGAGTCTAAAAATATATTCGATTTCCCACATAAATGCAAAAATGGCATCTAAAATAGTACAATAGAAGCAGAGTTCTTCGGCGTAATCCTTAACCCTTCTTTCCCCCGCACTGGGAATTTCGAAAAATCCCTTCTTAGTGTACGTTCTCACGATGTACCCTAACTGTGTACCAAATTTCAACCGTTTGGGCTCAGCACTTATTATCATCATCATTATAAGAGTCTCAATCAAGATCATCTCAATTATAAGATTAATTCTTTCTCTGCATATTTCATGCTCATGTTAGTAACAGGTTTTAGTAGCCATAATTTATTTAATTATGTTGTTTAAAAAAATTTACCTACATTTTTAAAACAAAGAAACCGATTTAGAATTTCTGATTTAACCAAAATATACACATAATCAAGCACATTACATCAGGTATTGTGCAGGAATCAACAGATTATAGAGTGGTCTACTTGTGATTATATGTTTGCATCTAAGTTAATATAAATATACCAAACTGAAGAATTGCAAATACTTGTTATTGTGATTTGCACGTGTTGGTCTGCAGATGTTTATTGAATGTAGTGGTTATATTATAGTATTTATTGATTTCATTTAACATTAGTGCTTAATTAGTTTTGTTAGTAAATAGTGTTCAATGATGGTATCTAGAGGTTGTATAAATAGTCCAAATGTTTTTTGCTACATGTGGCAAATTTGTTGTTAAAAAACAAAGACAGAATATTACGGATTTTGTAAAAAAGCATATCATTCCTACTTTGGAGTAAAGCTTGACAATCAAGATAAACAATGCATTCCTCACGCTGTTTCCATTGATTATGTTGAGGATTTACAACATTGGACAAGAAGCAAGAAAAAAATCAATTGCTTTTGGAGTACCCATGGTATGGAGGGAACCAAACAATCATACTGCTACTTCTGTTCTTGCAAAATTCAGGGCTATAACTAAAAATAAAAACATTTTTTTTTACCCTAATCTTCAATTGGCAATAAGACCTGTATCACATGGACCTGATGTACGATACCTATACCTGTTCCACCAGAATGCTTTGATCCAGCTGTAACTGACTCAGAAGAGGACAAAGAATTTGCACCTGGTCTTTCAGCTTAGTGCAGAAATTTGGAATAGAGTATAATGCAGAAGCCTGGAGATTATTCATAGACTCATCTAAAAGTCTAAGGTGTGCGCTTCTGTAAAATGGCAATAAATATGCATCACTACCTGTAGCACATTCCATACATCTGAAGGAAACATACAAAAACTTGGAAACTCTTCTGAAAAAAGTTAATTATGATATGCATTAGTGGCTTATCTGTGGAAATTTGAAAGTATGGTGCATGTTATTAGGTCAGCAGTCGGGTTATATCAAGTTTCCATGTTTTCTCTGTGAATGGGACAAGAGCCAGGAATTTGCATTGGATTCAGAAGCAATGGCCACCTAGAAAACAATTACAACCTGGCACAAAGAATATTAAGTAGCAGTTTGGTGAACCCAGAGAAAGTGCTGCTGCCACCCCTGCATATTAAGCTGGGATTAATGAAACAGTTCACAAAGGATGAAGACTGCTTTTTTATTTAGGAACCTGATATAAAGAAATTAATATCAAGCACAGAACTTCTTTCTGCAATGAACGATAAAGAACAGGATGCCTGGATTCCATTTAAGGCAAAAGTTTCAAAGTTTCTAGGAAACAATAAAGTTCCTGATTATAAAGAAATAGTAGAGAACTTGTTAATTAAGTACCATAAACCGGACTGTAATATGAGCCTCAAGGCACACTCTGAAATTGCACTTGGATTACTTTCCTGAAAATATAAATAAAAAACAGAGCAAAACATTCCATCAGGCCATTAAGGAGATGGAAAGACAATACCAGGGACAATGGATGTCAGTATGATGGCAGATTACTGTTGGATGATGCATAGGGATATTCCAGATGAAGAACATAAGGTCCACAAAATAGTTTTAGGGGGGAAAACTGATAGAGCTAATTAGTGGTTTATGTTGTATTTTTGTACCCATACATGTTAATAAACTGAAATTGGTAATTTTTTCCACATTAAAATAAATTAAAACGTTATTATACATATATAATATGCTTTTATGAATTTTTGACAAAACTTTGTAAAATCTTTGTATCAAAACATTATGTGATGAAACATTTGAGAGATTGTTTTTAGTTGTATCCATAGTTAGTAAAAATCACATCTCAAAGTCTAAATAGTTTTTTATTAGTTGAAATTTGCAGACCTGAGTTATCAATTATGACATTTAAATACAGTACGTAGAATTTTTACTTCAATAGTTCCTTCTTAAGCTATCATATAAAGATGGGCATTATTCACTGTTACAGAACAGTCAACTCTTACTTATTATTGAATTAATAATTTCCTTATTTCACCATAAATTAGTTCTTAAACAGGAATAAAAAAATTAACACACTTCAAGTAACAAGTTTCTATTGCCACATTACATCAAAAATTACTATCTTATTTATAATTGATAACTTTTTAGCTAGAAGTTTAGATTATGCTTATAAATCAATAGAGAGGTTGAGGCGCCTGTTTTAAACGTGTACGTGTGACGTTTGGCGCCGCTTTCCCGTAAGCCTAAAAGTTTGACAATGGTGTTTGGATAGTCGGTGGAATCACGCTCGACATTCCAAACACCATCGTCAAACTTTTAGGCTTACGGGAAAGCGGCGCCAAACGTCACACGTACACGTTTAAAACAGGCGCCTCAACCTCTCTAATACCTATAAAGTATTTTATCATTTCCTTAACTTCAGAATACAGTTATGTAAAATGGATTTTTTAATTTCAAATGTTTTCTGATGAGCAAATGAAATACAGTCGACCACCCCCTATAACACGGGTTTCTATAATTCTGATTCCTATATCACAGCGAAAAAATTGCGACAGTATTCGTACAAACATGCTAAAAAAACTCCTACAATTTGGTAAAACATCATCGCCGACTCGTGTTGTGACAGGATTGCACAAACCGTTGAGTTTAAACGAGCAGCAGACCTACCAAAAACCATTTATTATTTAACGTCCATAAAAATAATATTTATATTAACGATGTCTCTAAAGTTCAGCAAATTTTTCGCAAAAAAAAAAAAAAATTTATCAGGAAGCACGCGAGCGCCATTCAATGACAATCTCCATGACAAAAACAAGCTTAAGCAATGGCATCATCGAACAGTGAACACTCGGTAAGTAATCCTACAATTTTTTGTTTATAGCATAGTTTATATGGATTATTCCCAAAAAATTATATGTATTTTGGAAATGTTGAGTCAAATTAGTTTAGAATCGATTAATTTTATGGAAGAAATCTTTCAAACAGCCGTAGTCCGTAAACTGCATAAGTGCCAGGTTGTGATTGGCTGGACTCCTAGAAGCTGGATTCATAAAAAGAGAAACGTATCTACCATGTTATAGGGGGGGTCGACTGTATATAGGTATGCTGATTTCATAAATTTTTCAGAATTATATTTTATCACAAAATATGGATTCCAATTATAAACAAATAATTTAAACAAAGTTCTAGTAACAATTTACTTTTATCAATGGTATTGAGCTATATATATTATTGTCTATTATCAGGGTTTCCCAGCAGGGTTGATATTTACCCTGTCAGGGGTTGATGAAAGTTTAAGGGGCAATAAAACTTTCCTAATATAAAAATTTTACACTTTTTCACTTTTAAGTAAATATAGGAAGACAGATTTAAATTATATATATATTATTGAAATGGGTTAACAGAAAATTTTTCTTCAAAGGATTGGGAAACATGAAAAAGGTTGGTCTATACCAGTGTTTTTCAACCTGTGAGTCACAGGTAAAAGAAAAAGACAATTGTAGATTTTTTTAATCTACAATTAGACCTACAAAAATGTTTGTAGGTCCTATAGTACATTAAAAAATCTACAATTACAGCGAGAAGCTGAAAATCCCGATCCTAAAAAAAGTGTTTCATACTTTATCTGTGTTAAGTTATTGTCGATTCTTATGAAAATTTCATTTTAATCAACAATAATTTATCTCAACAGAAAGAAAATTACATACATAGTTTTTAAAATCACTGATATAGTTTTAATATGGCCCTGGGAGGTCGCCAGAATTTTTTAACTTGTAAAGAGGTCGCGTATTCAAGAAGGTTGAAAAACACTTATCTAATCTAACTGAAGTGCTGCCATTGGGCCTACCAAGGTAGAATTTTACCATTTAGACAACTAAAAAACAACTGATAATTGAAATACTACAATCTTTACTTATTACAAAGTGTAATTCTGGATTTTGTTGCTCCAAATTTCTTCATTATCTTCTGAAATACATGCACTATGCAGAAAAATGGATAAAGTAAGTGTTGAAGGAAAAAAACGGTATTAATTAGAAAATATCTATCAAACTGTCCCATATTTCTGACCAAAATATATAGTAACTATAGCCAAAGATAGAACTATCCATCTTTCACGACTGAGTTTCTATTTTCTAGTTTTAATCAAACCTAATGAAATTTAGATTATTATTTTGACCTCTTCACATACAAATGTTGCAGAGGTTACTTACACGTAATTATTTATACTGTGTATGCTTATATACACACATTACCTATGTAACTTCAACTTAGATGCTCAGTTCAGAAGTAGTGATATACAAACCTAATACAAATAAATTGACGATGATTAAAACTAATAGAAGTAATTATTTTTCCATATTTTCGTCTAAAATTATTGTTCTCACACACAGGACAGCTTTTACTTTTTTTAAGTCATTACAATAAAACCATCCACGTAAACAAATATCATAATCGTCCACGTTAGGTTCTTAATATTTAAATCTAACTATTTTAATCAGAAAATTCATAAAAAGTTACTATTAATCCTAATTTTTATAACATAATGCAACTTACCATCTCGAAATTATACAAGCCACAACTTTTCAAGAAATGCCGGATTTCGTTATGTCGACGAACGTTGCCAGCTCTCAATTGCATAAAAGAAAAATTATTTTTGGAATAAAGCCCAATTATAGCTTTAAAAATTTACTGAAAAAATAGTGAAAAGAAAATGTAAAATAAGATATAAAAAAAGGTAAAAATATTTTCTAAATAATTAACGATAAACATTTTATTTAAAAAACTTTTTGGTTTATTCTGGTTTTAATATTTGAAAGTTTCTTAGTAATGTCTTTTCTTCATTATAAGTTTTCCGCTACCAAGAAATACATAACATAAATACAGTTTACAGTAAATATATATTCATGGTTTAAAATCGTATTTATTATACACTATTTACGTTCATTTTTTATAAACAGATAATATTCTGACTCACGGGTTTCCCGACCCGTGTACTGCGACACACTTATGTGTTACAAGAGTGAGTCAGGTGTGTCGCGGAAATATTAAATATTTTTAGAATTTTGAATAAGCTAAGCTCTTTTTAAAAATTTTATTTAGTTTTTAATTTTTTAAAGTCGGTCGATCGAAGGGGAAAAAAAGGCATTTATTAAAATGATGATTGTTACAAATTTGCGGCATCAGCTTACACTCTTACAAAAGTTGCGTGCATCTGTACTTATGCCGGCTTACCAACTGTTTGGAGCTACTATAAACGCTATGCTTACCGGCTCAACGGCCACCAGTGGCCAAGCGGTCTTTGTACCCAGAACACTGGGAATTCGGTCGTGGTTTCGCACCTCGCTCGGACGGGCTGGCCACGTAGAGTTTTCCGGTAAGCATATTTGTATATATATATATAAGAAAAATATTTGTTATTAATAGTTTATAAATATATTGATAGAAGTTATGAAGTCAAAAACTCCTTCCACTATTCCCTTTCATTATAATATCTCCATTATACCCATACGGCCAAGTTAATTAATCAAGAAGTTAGCCCATTGCTCTGGGAGATCCGGGATCAAATCCGAACGAAAACTTCCCAATAATTTTTCATGTAGGCCTACAATTTGTACCTGTTATATCGAAGTTCCGTTGCTCGGTCAAGTCCGCATGAAAAAAAGGCCCCTTTATTGCTCAAAGGGTAGAAAGAGTCAAAAATGAACCAATAATTATTTATTGTGACATGTCACAATACCAAGCTGAGATTTTTAAATCATATTTTTAATCTATTTAATTTAAAGTATATGCTCTCCATCTCAAATTAGTGGCTTTCCTCTGTAAATCATATATTTTTTTAACAATAGAATCGTGCCGGGCTAACACCTTTCAGGGGAAATTTTTCAATTGAAAAAGAAGACATTGAGGACGTGTCTGAATAGAGAGAGATTTTTAAAGTCATTATAGAGGTCACATTCTCTACATGGTATACCTAAGGTGGACATGTCTTCCTGTTGGATACTATATGAAAACCATATTCATGATACTTTTATATAAATCATAGATGCATCAAATTGCCAGATAGTAAAAAAAATTGTTTCTTTCAGGCTCATCAAGACAAAACACACGAGGAAAAGACCATAAAAAATGAAATCATCAAGTTCTATTTTATTGAATATTTCCACAGTTTATGTATTATTTGTTAGAATAGTCCAAGTCGTATTTACAAATGTTACAATTAAAATTCTTTGAAATTTTTTTTTAAATTATATTTTCTAACTTAAAATATTCTAATTAATGTCAATTTTTTTTAAAATACTTATATTTAATTACATTTTGTTATTGGAATCAGGAGAATTCATCCAAGTATTAATATGCTTACGATGAAGAGAGCGATTCGTCTCTATACAAAGTTCGCATTGTGCAGGGATTGGCGAAATCCCTGTACAGTTATGTTGGTTTGAGAATTGTCTTTTACTTAATTGCTGCCGAATGTCTTCTTGATCATTCTTCATTATTATTACACTTTCTGTCAATTGCCCAATTAACTGAGACAGTGTCGTTAATTCGTTGTTGTCTTCGTGGTTTTGATTTAATTTTGTACGTCGGTATTCCCGATTTTGATTTTTTAAAGTACAGTTTAAACTTTCAATTGCTTCTCTTAATTTCCACATTTCATTATTTTGTAGAGGTGCTTCATTTGCATCGTCTTTTACTTCATTTAACTTAATTGTTTACGATACGAATCACAAATATGCGAATTTATCAATTCGTTCTCAATTTCCATCTTTTCTTTTTTTAGTTTTCGTAATAAATATTTTTGATTTAAAATTTCTTCCTGAAAATTAAATAAATCTTCTTTAAATTGAGATTTTTTTAAGGCTAAACGTTTATTTTCTAATTCCAACTTTGAATTTTCTTCTCTCAAAATTTTCAAACGTTCTAATTCATTTTGAATTCCTTTATGCGATTGATTTTCATATTTTGCTGAAACTGTTTCGTGCATTTTAAATTCTTCTATCTTTTTCGCCTTTTCCTTCAATGAATTCTTTTTTGAAATAACATCTTCTAAGTTCCTTATTTCTTTTTCTGCAGATTTTTGTAGATTAATGAAGATTTCTTTGACATTTTCAGTGTCATTTTGCAAGTCGGTCATTGAAACCTTTGCATTTTCTGCTTTAACATGCAATTCTTTTAAATCTTCCCATAATTTTTCTTGTTCTTTTTCTAAATTTAATGCATTTATTGAATTTTTATCAACAGAATTTTTTAAGTTATTTATTTTTTCAATTAAATTATTATTTTCTCTTGTAGCTTCATTGATTTCATGTAAATTCTGGTTCTTTATATTTGATAATTCTTTTTCGCATTTTTTAATTTCTGATTGAATTATTTCTTTTAAAACTTTATTTTGATTTAATTTCTCTTCTTCTTCTTTAAGTTTTAATGTTATTTCGTTCATAAATTTTTCTGATTTTTTCCGTTCTTCCGCGACATCATTTTGCATCTTTTCTTTTTCTGTTCTTAAATCATTTAATTCCTTTCTAACTATCTTTATTTCGTCTCGAATTAGGCTCAATTCATTTCTAATTTCCAATAATGAACTTTTCTGCAGAAAAATTAAATATATAGTTAAATTTTGTATGTAAATTATATAGCCGTAAGAAGGTTAATATATTTGATAGTAAATTATAAGGTACAGATTAAAATTGTGCGAGATATTCTCGAGAATCCTTTCTATATAAGTTCAATACTACACGACTATAAGTAGGTACTTATATATATAAAGTAGTAATAAAAGAAAATAAATAAATACGAAGATTATGAAGTTACATGTTTGGTTTGGTTTTAATGGGATTCGGCAATGCAACACGTGGGCAATCTGCCAAGGAGAATTCTTCCCCAGAGGATTTTCTAAAAGAAACTGCCTATTAGACACGTGAAGCAAATCAAGAAAATTTCACGTGGCTAAGGAATAAGGGACGAACCCGTGTCAAACTATCATTGTTCGGTGATTTTATCCATTCTGCCACTGGTGGGTCATTTTTATCCGTAAAATATTTATCATTCTAGCGAAGAAAACCAGTTAAGAATTAAACAACTGGATGATCGAGTCGTTAAGACATCATCCTACCGCTCTAGGGAAGCCAGAATCCAATCCGAGCGAGCAACTCCTCAGGAATTTTTCGTGGACAGTGCCAATGGCTACTAAGTGCTGAGTGCACTTAGTAGCCATTGTATGCTTTGCCGAACCCACAATAGATATGGAAAAAAGGCAGCCTCTTAGTGTTCACAGAGTAGAAAGAGTTAACAATGGATAAAAATGTATTCATAAATTTAAAAAATTATTAGGTCTAATATAAAATTATAAGAGTATTGATAAAATTTTTAAAACGAATTTTACGTATTGTTTTTCTTCATTTTCTCTTTCAATTACATTGTTTTGAAAATCTTCTCCAGGTAAAATTATAGCATTCTTATTTGATTTTAGAGCATCTTCAGCCTCACTTTTACTCTATAAATACTTTGTATAATTAAAACTTAAAATATTAAATGTAGGAAGCAAATGAATGAAAATCTTACATTTAGAATAGGTTTTAGCAAAGATTTTCCGAAAATTTTTGAAGATATTTCATTTTCATTTTTCTTTATATCAAGGGAAATGTGTGCGCTATTTTTAAAATAAATTATTATTTATTTTCGTGTTTTATAATTGTCATTGCGTGTTTTCTCGTTTAGTTTCATTCATGAATATAACAATAATTTACTTATTAATATCATTTTCATCTTTCGTTTCCTTTTCTTCTGGCATGTTGACTTTCTTATCAATTCTATTTTCATCATTTCTCAAGGAAAATTTTCCAATGTTTTTCATTATCACTTTCTCTTCTTTAAGAATTTCCTCTTTGTTTGTCTAAGAATCAATTTAAAGTATCTTATTTTATGATGTTGCCGGGTAATCTTTTATTCTAACTCCACGAAGATTTCAACTGGACTCCAACCCAGATCCTTATATTTTACCTTGTGCAATATGAGTTGTAACATCTCTGTCTATTCCCATCCATACTGGCCGATACCACTGAGAGTCATTCACATTGCGAACAAACGAAATTATAGCAAGCGATATGAACTTAAATGTGCTGACGTATTACAATGTGGAGTGGAGTGCAGTGAAGGGATAAGGTAACACGACTCCTGTGCAATCTGCCAAGAGGAGATACCTCAGTAGCAGATTTAGCTTCATGAGACCCAGGCAAATTTGAATTAGGGGCGTTTAGTGTTGACTTCAGACAATTTTCTACGAGGGAAATTTTTGGTGGGATATTTTCCTGTAAAAGATTGGTTTGGAGACCCAAGCAACTGCCCTTTTAGCCCAAGAATAACGCGCCACTGATGTACCTCCTGAGAAACTCAATGGACAACTAGCCCTATTTAGGTTGTTAAACACGCAAAAAAACCCGGAAAATTTCACGTGTCTAGCCTGTTGGTGAGGCACAGTCCCGCCACCAAATACCGGTGTTCAGTAGTTTTATCCACCTGGCCACTGATGGGACTGATGCATTACGTTATCAATCAATTAAATATTTAAGAGAATGATTTATTACTTTTAAACAATACCTGTTTAATAGATTCCCGCGAGGAATTAATCTCTCGATTTTCTTCAGGAGGAGGAGGACTTTCCACGAAATAAACCTAAAATCAAATATAATTTAATTGATTTCTAAATTATAAATTTATTATAATAATTTTACCTGTTTGAATGCTTCGCTCGGTAATTCTTCTAATAAATTCTACATAAATTGAATTAATGTACTGCTGTATATATTAAAATTATAATGTAATTTATTCTGAATAAAATAGTTATACAGGATGTCCCATAAATCAAAAATTATGAGAGTTATAGTTTTTTTTTTCTTTATTTTTTTAAGGTAAAAGATGGGCTAAGTAAGGAGAACGAATTCAAATTATTTTACTGGTGAAGACCTGCAAGTCAGCAAGAAATCGTAGAGTTTAACAGGCTGCATCTAGACTGCTGAGTATGATTTGGGTGCAGCGTATTAAACTCTTTGCCTACTTTTCGCTGACTTGCAGATCCCAATCATTAAGAATTTTAATTCATTACTCCATATTCAGCGCCATGCCTTTACCTGTAAAAGAATAAACAAAAATTTAAATACAATAAAACTGCGATTATCCGAATTGATTCATTCTGCAGGTTCGGATTAATGGATTAATTTGTACAGAATGAAATTACAGGGTAACAACACATTATTGTAATATATATATGTATCATATTTATCTGTTCATCAATGTGCGGAGTAGCATACCATACTACTTATCATTTGGATCTGGTACAGCAAATAGGTGTCACCGATCATTAGGGATGTCAATTCAGTTGTTTTTACTGCTGAGAAAGTACCGTACAGTACATGTTATAATGATGGCTGCGTGGGCCTTAGAGCAGTAATTAGTATTTTATTGGTTAATGCAGGGAATTGAATCTTGGCCACTGGAGTTAACTGTACTTCTGGTTACTTACGGGACACTCTATATACGTATTCAATAAACATACCATTTTCTCACGTTTCTCTTCATTAAAATTTGCAATTTGTTCACTTTTATTTCTACTTTCTACTATTGAAACTGTATTTTTCTTTATTTCATTTATGCTTTCTTTAACTATATTATCCTAAAGAAGCAAGTATATAAATTATAATATGCTCGAAATATTTTGTTTGTACGTCTGTACTATTATAAATATACGTTATTATTTAACATAATTAATATGTGAATATCATAAATATTACATTCCGTACATTGTATTTACCTTACCTTTTTAGATTTAATTGGATCCAATACAGTATATTTATGTAAACTATTTGGCGTAAGAGGAGAAAGAGGATATGATTTCGAAGGTAAAGGTTTCTTAGTTTTCTGATCAATATAAAAAGTATAAAAATTAATAAAATATATTGCTTAAATTACTAAAATTACATACTTTTTTGCATTTAACAGGTTGTTCTCTTAAAGGAGGAGATTCAAAATCATTTTCATAATATATATAATTATTATAATTGTCTTGAGGAAGATAATATTGTAACTCATCGGGATCCATGTACATATTCATGTACATATCATCCGAATTTTGCTGAAGATAATGAAGGAATTCTGTTTCTTCTTCCATTGCTTTCCAGTTTTCTGGAGATCTTCTCTAATTAAATTAATTAATTTTGTGTTTAAAAAATATATTTTAAAATTAAAAAGTGTTTTATTTGAATTTAAAAATAATTAATCAAACCTGTAATAATCTGTTTTTTTCCGGTTTACGATAAAAACGCCCGTAATCCTTATTGTAATCCTAGATGTAAAAATAAATAATTTATTAAGTCTGATTTCTTAAAAAATAAAATATCTTTTAAATTATAAATATAATAATTCAAACTCTGTATGCTTTTTTCACTGTAGGCACCAAAAGCACTTTTATTTCAAGCCAATTGTGAGTTTGGCCAGCCCAACAATAAGGCAATCTTATTTCCCTAAATGTATCAAACTGTATTTTATTGACTTACATTTAATTCCGAATATTTCACATATTTTTCTCTGTCGAACATTTTATTTAACGCCAATTAAAACATGCATTTGTTTTCGAAAATTGTTAAAATAAATAATTCAACAATGAATTCTTGAACAATATCTTAATATATTATCATTATTGAAATAATTTTTTTTTTTTAACTCCTCGAATACCTGGATTTGCCTCGAGCGTAATTTAAATTCATTCGATCCCCCTGACTTGTGGGTAGCATCTAATTAGGAGCCAGTTTTCCATAGAAAGTCTTCCTAGAAAACATCGCCCTCGGAAGATCGCCCATAACTGGCAAACAACAGCTTACCTCTCTGAGAGACTTGCGATTGAATTTGAGCTGTCAAAAATCCCAAAAATTCGAATTTTTTTCTTGGTCTGTCTGCCCGAATAAAGTGTATTAAAAAGGAATTATACAAAATGACTTTCGAATTCTACGACGATAAATTTTTGATCGATCCAATCCCATTGAAAAGCTTGACGATCAACTGTTTGTCGAAAGGTATATGCTCTCTAAAAGAACTGTTGTACATGTATGTGACTAAATCAAGCCTTTGCCGTCATATAATACAAGTAGAAACCATCCTATATCACCTCTATTGTAATTATTGATTAGTTTATGTTTTTATGCCACTGGAAACTTTTATCTGAAGTGGGAGATCTGACTTCAACATCGAAATCAAGCATATGTATGATAATTAAAACTGTATGTAGAGCTTTAGGGAGCCTTTCAAAAAAGGCTATCCAAAGCTTTAGACCATACTGGAATGCAGAAAAGCCATTAAAAAATTTTAAGATATTGCTAAGTTTTCAGATGTTATAGGTGTTGAAGATTGTATTCATATTACAAGTTCATCTCCCGAAACAAATGCAGAATTATTTGTTAATAAGAAAGGTTATTTTTTAATCAATACCCAGGTATGTTAAATTTTATATTAATTTTTATCAGTGTTAACATTAATAAATTCTGCGTGTATTTAAATTTTAATAAATATAAATATTACGTCTTTCATACAATTAATATTTTTAGGTAGTCAGTGATGCTAATTTACTACTTTCCTATAATAATAGAGTCGTATCGGTGTAACACCATTCAGGGGAAATTTTTTCAATTGAAATAAGACGACTTCCGGTTTTATCGGATATATATCATTAATCGAAGCCTCCTACTTTTATTTTTAAAACTCTTTCCGCCCAGTGGGCAACAAGAGGGCCTCTTTTAGCAAGCCGATTATGGGTTCGGCCAGGCCCACAATGGAGCGGCCGAGTGGTGCGGGATGGGGCCCGACTCTTCTGGACTGACCATCTCCGAAAATTCGTGTAAAAAAATTCCTAGGTTATTTTTGACCCGTCCAGATTCGATCCCTTGTCCCTCAGAGCGGTGGCTGCCATCTTGACCGCTCATCCATCCGGCCAAAAAGGATCCGAGTTCGAATTCAAACCATTGAAATTTTTGAAATTAATTAATTCCAAATTATTGTAAATGCGTTTTTAAAATAACAATATAGTATCGCATTTAACACAACTTTTTAAATAAAAAAAAATATTAATAAAGTTTTAAACGACGCCATGATAAAATATCGAAAACGTGAAGANATTATATAAGGATCTACGAGAATTGGGAAGATTTATGTTAAGATGTGGAGGAACTACAATCGCAGCTGGTGTTGTAACTGATGTAAATATATTTTCTGTAATTCTTTAATAAGATATTTTTAAGTTTTCTCCTAAATTTATTATCTTTTTTTTATTAAAATATAATATTAGATATCATTTTACATACAATTGAATATGAAATTTTAAAGGTTTACTGAATAAGCATAGGTCAAATAACATTCTTAAAATCTGAAAAAAAAAGTTTTATTTGTAATGCAAAATGTTTTCAATTAAAAAGATCAATGCTAAATTATACTTTTAGCTTAAGTTAAATTTTTGATTTGGATTATGTTAAAATTTCATATTCAATAAATTTACTAATCATTAATTATAGTCATCAACCCAAATGAAAATGTTGATTGATTGCAGGAATTTGTATTGTAAAATATAATACACTATTTTGTGCAAAAAGAGAGAATAGATATGATAAGAACTAAATACAGTTAAATGGTTAGAAATCAGAAAATGAGGAATATAATGAATACTAGGATCTGATAAAAATTCTGATGATCAAAAGCCTGATGGTCATTTCTCCTATATATTCTTGACTAATAAGGGCAATCATAAGGCTTTCAGCTAAGCCTAACAATTATTGAATTAAATGGGAAGTTATAGATAATGCTATCGATTTCATAAATTTATTTTGTTTTCTGGAAAGTATAAATAAATAAATAATAAGTTTTATATAAAAGAAATTTTATTTAGAAGTGTTGAATAGATTTATTATTATTAATTTTTTTCTTGTTTGTTACTATAATTGGAAATAATTTAAGAAAATCGTTAAGTTTTTAATACTGTTTATTCTGTCTTCTGTCATATTATTATTGCCATTAATTATTCCAATATTAGCGTATTTAACAATATATATATATAAAAAAATATGATGCCTTTAAATAACAACAAAAGAAAAGGAAGAATTAGCAATGTCAAGTAAGTATCAAATTTAATCAATTTCCTTTATTTATATCAATAACAGGGAGAAATGCAATTAAAATAGCTTAATTCATTGTGAAAATCTATGTATAAGTCTATATATAGGCTTATATTGATATGTGTAAAATAACACTTCTTGCTGCAAATTTGGAATATGTAGTGGAATTTTCATATCTTAATATGGTCAAAATAAAATAAATTTTGATTTCTGGAACAGTTTTTTTTGGGTAGAAGTTACTTTTAGTTACTTTATATGAAGACACACATATTGAGAAGTGACCTAGAAGTGACTCCTTTTTTTTTTTATATGTATATATTTATATATAGAATGGTTACACTTAAATTTATATTGGGGATAATCTTGGAGGAAAAATGCTGTAAAGATTATTGCTACTTTGTTAGTTGATGGTTCTCCTCGACCTTTCTGAGGCTGCGGAATACGTTTGTATACTTATTATTACGTGGAGCATTAGCGTCGATACGTTCGAAAATTGATAAGCGATTCCGTCTTTACTGTTCTCGGAAGACAACAAAGAAATAAACTATGATGTATTGAATAAAATAGAAACATAGGAGTGTCTATGAATAAGGCAATTGGAATAAATTTGCAATAAAAGCTTTTTTTTTTTTTCATGGAATGCTTGAGGCAGGTTTATGGAACACTGGTGAAGAATTACTGGTATAAGTAGAACTGTTCGGAGAAATCTGTATAAGAATGAAATTGTGAATGACAGTTTAATTAAAAATACATAATTAAAGAAATGTAAAGGAATTTGGAGTCTTAGTATATATTGTTTGCATTGTGCAAACTGGAGTTGATCTTTATAAATGTTAAAATGCTTTTAAAATGTCTTTTAATGTCAGGTTATTGCGAAAAATGTATTAATTATGCAATAATAAAAATTTAGGGCAGTGATTTAGTTAAAAATGTACAAAATTTGAAGTCGGACGCAAAATTAAAATGAAATGGACAGAGTCATCATAAATGTTATTTATGTGTAGGCCTAGTATGCATTTGAGAGCTGTAGATTTAAATGTAAAATAAATCAGTTAAATTAAATATTTAACTACTATATTTTTCTAAATAAAGTTGTTTTCTTCCATTTAGAAAACAATCTATTTTGATTAGTTGTGAAGAAAATAGTACTAGTCATCATGAATATAATGAATGTGATTATTTATTATTATTGGGAGAGAGTAACAAATTAAAATTTTAAATGAACAATTTAAGTAAATAATGTATTCACTTAAATAAGAATGTTTATTATTAATTTTAAGAAATTAAAACTAAGAAATAGTTTTTTGTCCTTATATACAGTTCCATATTTGTAATTGATTATTTACTGTAGTTAATTTACTGCTCATTCCATACATCAACTGATTTCTCCCTTCAATGGATGGTTGACTTTTATTGGCACAAGGATTATTTTGGTCAAGCTGTATTATTTCTCTCCAATGACCTTAATATACACTTCTCTACTTTCCTGGAAATCAAAAATGAAATCTACTTAAACCTTAGTACTTTCAGGTTGTCCTCTAGTCAGTTTATGCCTATTCCCTTTCCCATCTATTATAATGTATATACATTTTCATTTGTATACATTTATATACAAAAGCAGGAATATTTATTAGCCTATTTCACAGGCTAATAATTATTGGTCTATTTGCAGTTAAGTTTGCTTAGTTCAAAGAATTTTTAAGTTTCTCAAACAAAGTATAAAATATTAGCATACTGTTGTATTTAATTACAAAATGAAAGTGTTGATTTTGAGCTAATTAGACTTTAGATAATCTGTATGATGTATCAAGCAAAGAAAGTTAATTGTTAACTCCTTTATAATGTAGTTTTAAACAAAACTATATTTTCTTTGTATTAAATAATTACTGGTGAAGAATAACTTTTATTATTATTAAAAAAACAAAAAATTTATTGGATTATTTCAATAATTAGAAATCATTTTATCATAATTACTATCATAATCTAAACCTACAACTATTATTTTATTATAACTGAAACTATAAAGCTATATGAGAAAATATTGGATAGATGTATTAGTGTTTCATGATATATACGATGCACACATGAAGTGAACAATAAAGTAATTAAATAAATTATTATTCATGTAAGGATTATCATATTTTGTATGAGGATAACAACACAATTATCACGTCTTAGTAATCATTAACTATTAGTTTTTAATTCATAACTAAATATTCTGAACTAATGGATTAAATTATTTAAACTTTATTAGAGTACTCCATCTCAATAATAATTATATACATGAAACTATTTGTTATATCCATGATAACACTATTATTTTTTTTACAACTGACAGCTATCTTTATCACAGTTTTTTTTCTGTTGCACAGTATTGTCTGTTTAAAATGTGGAAGATAAATTACTAACATCAACACAAGCTAACATTAAGGAGACTAAATTTAGTTTATTTGATGGAGGTAGTGTTAATAATATTGATATGAGATTCTTGTTTCCTTGGGTTAAAGAAGATAAA